TACGCGATGATTCCGTCCAATCGGACGACCACCTAAAAGCTGTGAACAAGCACCTGACCACGATCAAGAGACACAACAAGAGTTTGCAGGACTCTAATAAAGCGAATGGCATTGGTGTAGACGTAAATTGTATGCCCATGGCAATCTTAGAGGAGATAGTGGACTAATGGAAGAAAGAAGATCGAGACCAGGTGCTAGCAGAGATCGAGAACTTGCTAAAGCAACTTGCAAGTGAAGAGCCAGCAAAAGACACTTTGATAGCACTCGAGACGAACGAAGCACCTGACAATGTGCCTAATCCTGTTCTCGAGACAGATCAAGCACCTGGTGATACTCCTGCTCTTGAATCTACCTCAAGGACCCGGACTCAGTCTCCTATACAGAAATCTTCTCTTGGCCAGTTGACAGACAAGAATCTGCTCGATCTAGACATAGATTCGATGTCACTAGATAACGACCGCGTTGAGCCTTTCGCATACGGGAATGGTGAAACGGAATACGGACCGTTGGTAGCAACTCGCGCTTCAATTTCCGACAATCCCAGATTCCATCGCTTTATCATCAACGCTGGTATAGGAGAAGAGAAATGGGAGTACTTCAGGGTAATCAAGGGAACTGACCTAGGTCCAGGAGGTGCTGAGAGTATGCCGCAAGACAAAGTGATCAATTTCAATATAAAGGAAAGGAAGAAAGGCCTTAAGGATAACCCATTGATAGGGATCGGTCCCTGTGTCGTCATGCCACGCGCAGAAGGCTATGTTAGTCGCGCCGGCGCAAAGCAGCGTCAGCCTGATACTTACGTCCGCGTTGCGTATAAGGGGATTACACAGGCCGATTGCCTAAGCAAAACCGAGTTCATCCAACTCGCTGGGAAAAAGTATGCAGAAAAGCACTTAGCGATCATGATCCCAGCCTACCACAAACGACAGCAGTACTTCAAGGCGTGCAAGGCACAAAGAAGGCATCCTAAGACAAAGCTCCCTTTGACTTCGGAGGACTTTGAAAGCCACCCATGGCTGTTTCCAGATGATGAGAGGATGATCAAGCGGCCCGAAGAGAATGATCCTATGGAGGTTGACGACGACGACGAATCTGTGATTGAAAATGTCAAGGTCAACGTAGGAGATATGCCAGATGTAGAGTCGCGTGATCCATTTAAGAAGAAGAGAGCTGTTCTTCCACTGAGCGGCTCAGCAGGTTCAGAATACTAGTGCTACGTAACCTTGGAATAATCTCTTGACTACAAATTTTAATGTATAATAGTACCTAGATAGTTAGTCAATGGGTTTTTCGTTAATACAATACTACCACCGTACATATCCCAACGGGAACGCCTGCCAAAGCACTACTGTACGTCATTCCAAGTGGAAAATTCTAAGTGGTGCATTAGTCTCACTAGCCGTTGTGAAACGTCTGCTGTCAGTGTAAGCAGCTCTCTGGAGTACCTATCAGGACTAGCTGATTAGAGTACTGTACACAACACCACAGCAAAACTAAGCATGAGCACGTTTGCACATGTAGTCACGTCTAATGGCGGTGTTCAGTTTGGGCAGTTCAGTGACAAACCTCAAATCAGCGGGGCAGAGGCTGCAATTGCCTCTGGTACAGCAGCGCACGTCAATTCTGGGCGTCTAGCGTAAACTCGTGGAGCTTCAAACGTAGATCCTAGCGTACTACAGACGTTGCTTTTTTACCACTCAACCTCCACTCAACCTCCACTCGCCCTCTTAGTACCCACCCCGTTCCTAATGCAGTTTCCCTGCAGGAAATCTACGTAAGCACTCAAGCCACCTTGTCCCCCAAGGAGCCACCTCTCTCTCCGCGTCTGTCATTCCGCGAAATTAGTGACACTGCCCCAGCGGGAATGTGCCCACCTCGCCATTTACGTACTGTACTGTCTTGTTTTGGACAATCAACAGTTTCTTTTCAAAGCTTGCGCACATGCCCTCCGTCATGGTGCTGATGGGTATGTGTTGATGTGGATGACGTTGTGGCTGCCGTCCCTGGCTTCGATCGCGGAACGGCGGCAACACTATCAGCAGATCGTTTTCTTACTAGCAGGATACGCTTTGGCAAAAGAGGACCCTCCCTGCAGCATCGCTCTTTATAATGAAGGTGGTTGAGCCTATTCTGGATCGTTTGCTGCCCGTTTGTTCCCACGAGCCGGAAACGAAGCCATGCGGTTAAGACTGGATTACATCTATTTATAGAACCCGGTCGAAAGCGTGGGTTCCTGATCAGGACCAGCTCGGCATACTCGAACAGAGAGACAGTGTGTTCCGGTTCTTTAGTTTAAGACATTGCTCGGTACAGTATACAGCAATACCGTCTTTCAGACTCCGTAACAATCAATTAAGTGGGTCTTAGAAGGTCGGCCGCTATTCCACTTTCCTGAGGAAGACGCACTTCGACCTGCGTTGTCCTAAGCTTCCTGAGAAAATAGAGGCAGCAGGGGTTATTCCGCAGGTTGGCAAATTAGGCATTTGAGAGTTCCTGCCGTCTCTTCCACGTTAGCAGGCCGCAGGAAAGCTCCGATAGGTTAGCGTGTCCATGCACCTAATGCACGCCGTCAGTCAATGCACGCGCATCACCAAAACGAGCTGCACAAAATTGAGGCTGCAGATCCACACACAATAGTTATTATCACAAGATAACTTAGTAGACTGCTCTATAGACCTGTAGAACAAAGTTTCTCAGCAATATTTTCTTGGCTGAAGGATTTTGCGGCCGCCCAAGCGTTTCTCCCGTACGTGACCCCAAATCCTGTCTTCTAACCGTCGTCTAAGCAAGCCCTCCTTGCGCGACCGTTGTCTTTAGCAGCTAAGGATGGTTGCAAAGCTCTCGTACGACTAGCGCGGATCGGTATTATGTACCTCATCCTCACCATCTTCCAACACAAGGAGAATGATGCTCGATGCTCGTCCTCCAGATTAATATTGTTTTGATGATGGCGAGTTGGAGCGCTATACAGGTCGAATATCGGAGATAATTAAGTCGGCGAAAAGGTTGTCTTCTTCTAAGAGTTAGATTCTTTAATCTTAGTTGTGCACGGAGGTTCGCAACTAACAGTGCAGGCTAGATTCGAAAGCTATTGAGGAGCCGGGAGCGATGTTAATAGCATGCATCTAGGGGCTAAGCGGCTGCTAAGCGGCGTGGCACATAAGTTTAGGGGCTATAGTCACGAATTCGAGAAAGCATACACTACGAAACGAGTACTGGTCACCATGGGATCATCTAATACCACTTCAGCGATGTGACCTCCTTTGTCCGTCTTGAAACAAACGGATACATTCACACCGACGGAACGGACTCTCATAGCTCGGGATGACTAGGTCTCGAATCAATGAGGTAGATGCAAGTTCTGTGTAGCTGGTCGTGCTATTTAGGCCAAAAGGGGCACGCTGCTATAACGGTGGTCTGGTGGATAGGTCTAGCATACATTATAGTCTCATCTCCCCCTTCCTCAAGTACACTCAAAATGTTAAGCTAATAGATGCAACCTATGATTAGTGACAGTAAGGGGAGGAAAGCCCAAGATTGCTGCTAACGTAGGAGTGAGGAGAAACAAGGAAATAGAACGACCCTAGGTCCGAAACGCCAGTCCGCCAACAGTATTCCACCTACTTGTTCGGTCCTTCAGGCTTATTATCATCAGGATGATTGCCCGCATCTCTGTCCTCCTCCCAGCACTGTACCCACATCTCCAACCTTCTTGGAGGGCCTGGGTGTAAAGGATTGGCCGCATGAAAACTCTGGAGTCTGTGCGGGCTATTCTTGAAATTAGACGCATCGTACCACTCCGGATCCTCCTCATATTCTAGCCATTTGACATGGTACTGTAGCTTTCTGCAATGGAGACGGGCATTGAGGATCTTCTCTACCTCATATTCGTCGTCTTCGTCCGCAGTGTCTTGACTGCGCTTCCGCTTATGCTTGCGCGAGCGACAAGGGCTTACAGTCGACATTGGTCGCTTGATGCTTTCGAGATGGCGAACGCGATTTTCGCTGCTGTCATCGCTGCTGTCATCGCTGTAGCAGATTTTGGCATCGTATCCGCTGTACGGTGGCGCCGAAAGAGGTTTCAGGGCCAAAGGACGGTTGGAGAACGGCCTGCCGCCGGAGGGGGATAGCCTTCGTTGCTTCGCTGAGCGCACATTGTGCTTAAGACGCTGCCTTGATGTCGTGTTTGACGATAGAATGTGCTGCTTGGTTGGCTGGAAGCGTTTCCGCTTGCGGGTCAGCCACGCAGTCTGATTACTGCGGTCATCATTGTGATCGTCGTCGGTATCACTGCTGCTGCTGCTACTGCTCGTGTTTTCGATCGTGGGAGGTCTGCCTTGCGTTGACTGTTCGATATTCATCTTCGACGAGCCCATTGGCGGCGTTGATGAAAATTTGCGACGTGGAGCCCACTCATTTGAGCCTTTGCTTTTCCAACCGCATCGGAGTCGATAACATCCTCCGTGTGTATAGAACACTCCCCACTGCGACGATCCGGGGTCGTGACGCTTGAAACTTCAAGCCGATCGCCTATCTGCGTACCTGCGTCATTTTCGTGCGAGTCGTTCTCGTCTGTATCTGAGCCGGACTGGCTATCTTCGATGACGACCGCATTTCCTACAAAATGTCAGAAATGGTGTGCCGGAGCTACTATCACGATCTGGCCTGGGCGCTTACCTTGGCTGCTATTATCAGAAGGAGCCGGCTGATTTGAGTTCTCATCCTCTGTGTCTTTTCGAGAGCTTCGCTTCGAGACGGTTTGCTTCAATTCCACGCCTTCCCATTCGTTCTGGAGCAACAAACCGTCGTTACTGCCATCATCGCCATCTCCTCCACCTCCGCTACTGCTTATTTCGCTGCTGCCTTCTCCAGCTGCGTTCGTGTTAGTCATCGCACAATGCCGGAATAAACAAAATATTGCTTCGTCGGTTGTAGGGATGCTTACCTAAGCATGTCAAATCAACGACTTCGACTCTATCTGACGTGGGTACAAAATCTTCTTTATTGCCCAGTTCAGTGTTCGATTTTGGACTGTCTTTGCTTGACGGGGCCTTTGAGGGGTTACGACGAGAGGTTTGCTTGGGCTTTGGAGGCCCACTGTACTGTATGATTTGAAGAGAATCTTGTGTATGAGGTATGGAAAAAGTATCAAAGAACAATGCCATCGCTGCTGTCGTGGCTCGAAGGCATGCTGGTGCTGCGAGGAAAGAGGAGACACAAAAGTTTAAATAGGCAAAGATACCACGCTTGAGGTCTCTCTTATGATGTAAATCCTTTCGGAGAGCCCTCTCGAATGGCATTTAGCGCCCATCAGGCAGCAGCCCGTACGAGACCGTGCTCGAAACTGCGCATCCTTGCCAGCGACATATCAGGCTGGAATCGAGTCAGCTTCGCGCCGTGTACCCAAATGTATTATGCGGCTGCGAAGTGTCGGCGGCGATGCAGCCTTCGCATGAAGCCCCTTTTTTCTTGGATGGAAACATGACCAAATCTCCCACCAATACTCGTACTGGAAATGAGGAAGTACAATGCATGTTCCCTGGCTTCGGGCTGTGCTACAGGTCGCGCCGCCCCTTTTCCGTTAGAGCCCGTCTACTGATCAGGGAGATCCCAACCCGGGTTTTTCAACTCGTCGGCCACTCCGAAACCCAGACAAGGGCTCAAATCCGTGTTGAGACTCTAGACGTCAGGCTTCGGGCGGCGTGAGCCACACAGTGCAGAGAGATTGGCGCCCAAGCTGTGCTGAACGCCCGCTCTAGCCTTCACTACCCCTGATATGTAACGCCGGAATAGGACACTGCCATCATGCAGGCAGTCATATGGACCCAGGCTCCACCAATCTGTGTTCCGACGCAGTCTCGGCAAGTACATGCCCGACCGCTACCTGCATGGCTGAGTAGCGGGTCGGACTCTAGCTGCGGCTTTTCTGGCGTGACTTTTTAGTGAAACTGGGCTTGCAGCGACACTTGGACGGTTCAAAGCCAATCGTTTCTCTAAGGCTATATGCCAACGTAACCTCGCTAGGTGTCCAGCTGGAGTTGTACCGGCTTAGCGCTTCGTGTTGAGACGTAATCGGGGCGTCCGAGACCCCTTTGTTGCTGATCCGCGTGATTGATGACGTGGCAGATCGAGGATGAGCAGACTGGGAGGGACGTTCACTTTCGAAAGGGCGAAAGCTAAGAAACGGTTGCAAATCGTCCATGAGTGACCCTGATGCAAAGACTGTTCACCGATGGGATAGGCAAGAGAGTTGGAGTGGTCAAATTCCAGGGAGAGACAGAGCTGCTGGCTGGTTGGTCAGGAAAAACGTATTGAGAGGGTCTGCCAAAGGACACAGCGCAGAGGCTTGATCGTGGGTCCCAAAGGAGGGGGTAAGGTGGATAACACAGCCAGGCAGTGCAGCGGTTGCATGATTTCCAAGGGGAACGAAAATGCTTCACGGATTCAGTCCGAGCGGCCAATAGGAGGAGGCGAAGTGGAGGGAGGAAAGGGACGATAGTGGGAGGAGAGTAGGACGGCGAGGGAAGCGTGGTTTTATGTGATGGGGTCGGCGCACAGGCCAAATAAAAGCAGCGGGTCGCCAAGTGAGCATCCATTTCCCGCTTTGGAAGCCTCCATTTCCGGATGCAGTTCCACTCTCACACATATACCTATGCACCTCCTCAAGGCGCGCTACAGTTCTGCCTGATACGGCCTAGCTCACCACGGAGAGGAAGCTCTACCTGGTATAACTGATGCTGAGCATGAGTGGATGATTGGCAAGGAAAGACCATGTTTAGGTAATCTTAGGCGCGAGTGGCGCTTCTCCGTGCGTGTGTGTTGCAGATCTTAGTACAAGAGGCGGGTTCGTTTCCGAATGACATGTAGGTGTGACAGCATCGTCACACATCTCAACAATATCTAACAGGCCATGGTAGCCAATAGCAAACTGATAGCAATGGCGGCCACGCCTTCAGCGGCTGAATCTAGCTAGTCTAGCGCAAGAGTGGGACGCTGGTGATAAAAGTAAGACGCCGGTTGCGGGCGGCAGTCGGCCGCTGGGCTGAAGAGTGTTAGAATGCCGGGATGCAGTTTCTAGAAAGGTCCGTAACTTCTAAAGTCGCGTTGAGAACTGTTAACAACGCTGTGCGAGCTTTAGTTTTGCCTGCCCGTTCTTGTTTCTATCGTAATCTTGTGCATGTGTCAAGTGCTGTTTGATAAGACATAGTATGGTGGATGAACGCTGTTCTATAATAGAGCTAGGCATAGATGGGCGAGTTCACCTCTAGCTGACAGCGGACCCGAAGCAATACAGGATAGTCCTTCAATAGGCAAGGTTCTAAAGGCAGAACAAAGGACCTAGGGTTTAGGCGCACGGATCCACAATGTGATAGTAAACAGGGGCATGAGACGTGGCTATATTATTGGCAAGAACGCCATTATGCAACAATCTGTCAAGCATGCCTGCCACTGGTACCCATGCAGGTAGGCGATGCACCTGACGGTGAAGATGCATACGCTGCACAACGTTTCCTACATGACACGGGTATTACAGTCTACCATAATTAACGAATGAGCAAAGCGGTGAGCTGAAGGCGAGTGAAGGCAAACGAGGCAAATGAGGCAAGAATAGCCATAGTTCCTTCATGGTCCTCCAATTCGTAATACATAAACTGCCTTTCGCACACGCTTCTCGATTCAACCACTTCTCTCACGATGACTACGTACCTACCTCACCAGACAACAGTGGAATTTTGGATCTATATCCTCATAGCGACGAACATGATTCTGTTGATCTTGATTGTTGAGCTCTTATAGTTAGTAGCTATACCTCGTTCCCCTAGCATTCCATCATAACATGCGCTTAGTTCAAAACTGCAGAACTATAACCGCATGCCGCCGGAAGCAAAGGCCGCTCCTAAACAAGACTCTACACTCCCCAAGCACAAACCTACCCCCCTGGATCCAGCACAGTGCCTTGTGGACCCTTATACAGCCGCGACACGAGCGCGAGATGAACTCTGCCAACTATCCTCTAAAGCTCCCAAGCTGAACACGGACGGAACAATTACTCTTACCCCGGTGCAGATGGCTTTCTTCCAGTGATCGGAATGGTCTGGTCTGGTCTGGTCTGAGGGTACAGACCAGACCAGACCAGGTGCTTACATAAGGACCGGTCCGACCAGACCGGTCCGACCAACAAGACCGCCAAGAATGAGGCTGGAGAAAAGAAGGAAGCCAAGGAAATGTATTTTACTACTAACTATCAATCCAGTCGTCTTCGTTCTCACTATCCTCGATATCGCTGTTTCCTTCAGCCTGCGGCTTTCCATACCAGGCCCGGAGACACTCACACGCCTCTATAATATCTGCCTTCAGCCTACCACGGCGATCAACTATCGTAAGCTTTGCGCTACTGAAAAGACGTTCGCATTCATCCGACACAGGCGAGATTGCAAACATGTCTAGAGCGAAGCGAGCGAGATCTCGTTGGGAGTCGTAGCGAGATAGCCAGTTGTTACGGTCCCCAGCCAAAACGCCGCAACCACGCCACACAAGCACAGCCAGGACCCGCAATCCTTCAAAACCGCTAACTGTAAGCGTACAGTCACGTGACCGCTCACGACGCCAAGGACTATCGATAGGAGCGCGCACGACTATCGCGACTATCGGTAGGAGCCAACGCGACTATCGTACAAGTATATAGACACTGGACAATGCACCCTTATGGTCATTGTGCTCAACTTCGTATTCAATCTAAGGATTAATACTTGCTTCTCAACCACCGTGTTATTACATCGATCTTCC